ATTCATTATACACCCGAATGCCGCGGGGTGAAGATACACTTCCCTCTCTCTTGGGGCTCCGTCTTCGGAAGCTCCCTCTTCTCCCTTCAGCGAAAGATGTCCACTGATAAACCTTTCACCCATTCCGCCCACCTGGTGGTAAGCGATATGCACCTCCAGTTCCATGATGTTTTCTACTTGGCGTTTTCTACTGCGCCAAGGGCAGTTCTTAACTAATTCTAGTTCCACCGTGCCTTCCCCGGATCCCATCCTCGTCGCCATGTGCGGGCCGGGAGCGGTCCGAGGCTTTCGGGGGCGCGAGGCAGGCTGTGGCCGGGAGCCTGCAATGGTAGGGTGGGTACTTTTGCACGACGGACTAGAATTAGGCACGGACTCGTAGCGGTTAATTAAAGATTGTTTTACTTACACCGTAGGTGGTCGCGGTACATGCAGGAAAAACTTTCTTGAGTTGCAGTTACAGACAAACACAAGTGGAGTTTGCTAGGCTCTACCGAAGACACACGCACAGAGCTGCTAGGCTCCGCAAAAACAAACACGACAGAGCTCTGGATACCCTTGACGAGCGTGCAAAATCGTAGATACGTCTTAAGAATTTAACGAACGAGACGGGAAGAGGTTGGTGGTTGATCAGGCTGCCGAACTCCTCTGAGACACGCACAAAGTTTCTATTACTCTGCCGTGTGCTCAGAGTCCCCACGAGATGGTTGTGGAGTCCTCTATCAACTTGGGCGGAAACTGCTCAAACCTCTTATACGACTAGCAAGCCAATCGCTAGCCGCCACGTGGGAATAATTTAGAAACAGCCAATAGTGGGAAACAAATTTACATACGGGTGGCGGGAACTCCTTTGCACCGGGGTTTTCTCTCTGCAGCTGAGAATTGCACTGTGCAAAGAAAGCTCCAAGTGGCGGGAAATAATTCTGCAGTGCCGAAGCCATTGGGTCATGACACAGACCCCTTTGGAAATTTCAGAAGAAGGTGTGGACTCCTTTAATTGTAAGTGTGGGCTTTCACATACTTTTAATTGTTCATAGTAATCTTTTGCAGACCCCTTAGACATAGCCTGCAGACCTTAGGGGTCTGCAGACCACAGGTTGAAAACCACTAGACTAGATGACCTCCTGAGGTCTCTTCTAGCCTTACTTATTTATTATTCTAACTGTACTCAGATCCAGTTGACTTAGCATATGGGACCAAGTGACCAAATTTAACCCTGACTGGTAGCTATACAGTAAAGTATGGGTTGAGGTGGTAATGCAGCAAGAAGTGTGACATTTCCCTTCCTCCTTTTATTCCTTCCCCGCCTGCCCCATCTAAACTTACTATGCTGATGTAAGTGTGCTGAAATTGGTATCACTTATTCTTTTCATGTACAGGAATTAGCTTTGATATAAAGCATGTTTCTAGTCATATAACTGTGTTCATGCCAGGAGGTTGCATGCTACTGCTTTAACTGTTCTTGCATAGTTAAGGCAGCACAATTTTTGTGTACAAACAAGGGCTTGGACAAGACTTCAACAGATGGGGATAGCAGCAATCAGCTAATCACTGTCTTCAGTTCACCTGGAGAGTTCTGCCATATAAGTGAAACAGAACTTCTGTATCTTCATACTTCCAACAGTAATCATGTATAGCAACCTGCTGTTGTGCACCATGGGCATGTATTGTAGCAGAGTAAAAATTCTAGTGAGAAGCATCAAGTGATTTCATTTCTAACAGTATTGTGACC